GGGAGTAAGATCGTTCCTAGGGTTCGCGAACTTCTACTAAAGGTTATTAAGAACTTTGCGCAGCTAGCCGCACCCCTTACTAGGCTTACAGGTGAGTCCCCTTCTAATAGGGATCTAAAGAGCAGTCAGCCTTTGAGAAGCTAAAGGAGATCTTCGTTACAGAGCCCACGCTGGCGGCGTTCGACCCAGATCGGGAGACAGTGCTCGAGTGCGATTCGAGCGGCTACGCGGTGGGCGGGGTGCTATCACAGTACGACGATGATGGAGTCTTACGGCCTTGCGCGTTCTTCTCGCGGAAGAATAGCGCGCACGAGTGCAACTACAAGATCCACAACAAGGAGTTGCTCGCGGTAGTACAATGCCTTAAGGAATGGGATTCCAAGCTGCGTTTAGTTAAGAAGTTCAAGGTGATTACAGATCACAAGAACTTAGAGTACTTCATAAAACCTCGCATGCTAAACGAGCGCTAGGTGAGATAGTCGCTTCTACTTGGTAGGTACAACCTAGAGCTGCTGTATCGGCCAGGCAAGCAGAATGTGAGAGCCGACGCGCTCTCGAGAAGAGAACAAGACCTGCCTACAGGGGTAGAAGACGAGCGCTTGCAGAAGCGTTTCGTGCAAATATTTAAGCCAACAAACTCCTATCAGAAGATAGCAGAAGAAGAACTAGAAGAGGAACTAGAAGAAGCTATTTTAGTAATGGCCACGAAAACACGAAGCCAACGGCGGGAAGAAGAGGCTGTTGCCCTAGCTAAAGAAGAACTAGGCTAACTACCTCCTAGAGAACCAGACGAAGAAGCGTTGGAGCAGAACGAGTTAGAGAAGCTCTGGCAAGAAGCGACAGTGAAGGATTAGGTCTACTAGGGAGCGAAGAAGGCCGTAGAGGACTAAGAACAACGTTTCCCTGCGAACTTAGGCCTAAAGTGCTCAATCGAAGACTACTCAGCGGACGGCGGAGTCCTGTTTTACCAAGGGCGCAAGTGGGTGCCAGACAACGACGAATTACGAACGGCAATCATCAGCGGCGCACACGACTCATTAGTCACTAGCCACCCAGGACGCGAGCTAACGTACAAGATACTCGCAAGGGACTACTTCTGGCCAGGCATGACTAACTCAATCCGGAGATATGTTAGAAACTGCGACGCTTGTGGACGGAGCAAGTCCTAGAGAGAGGGCACGCAAGGCCTTCTAAAACCACTGCCGATACCCACCCGGATCTAGAAGGAGATCTCCATGGATTTCGTCGAAGGGCTACCAGAGAGTGAGGGCATGACTAGCTTGATAGTAATTACTAATCGGCTTAGTAAGGGTGCGATTTTCGTACCGCTCCTAGATACAAAGACAGAAACCGTCGTTTGAAAGTTCATCGAACGTGTAGTCGCATATTACTAGCTACTAGACGCTATTACCTCTAATAGAGGCAGCTAGTTTGTGAGTGCACTATGGACAAGACTATGCGAGCTTCTGAAGATCAAACGGAGACTGTCGACAGCCTACCACCTACAGACGGACAGTGCAACAGAAAGGATGAACAGCGTCTAGGAGACCTACATCCGAACGTTCACGAACTAGGCTCAGAATGACTAGGCACAGCTCTGCCTGATGGCCTAGATCGCGATCAATGGTAGAAACGCAACGTTGACTGGAATGTCACCGTTCTTCTTATAGCATGGGCACGAAGTAGAGCCGCTGCAGCTAGAGCTAGACAATGAAAGGCAACAGCGGAAACCAGCCAAACAGCTTTCGGATGAGCAGAAGGCAGCAGAGATCGCGGTTAAGCTACAACAAGCCGTAGAACTAGCCCAAGCAGGCATAGCAGTTGCTCAACAAGAACAAGAGAGACAGGCGAACAGGACTCGGAGAGAAGCGCAGAGCTACCGAGTAGGCGACAAGGTATGGCTGAAGCTCGATTAGCAGTACAGCACAGGGCGAAGCTCTAAGAAGCTCGACTGGAAGAACGCTAAGTACACAGTGGTTAAGGTAATCGATAGCCACTCAGTCCAACTAGACACGCCCCCAGGCCCACACCCTGTTTTCCATGTCGATAGGTTGAAACTTGCTAGCAACGATCCGCTCCCAAACCAGGTTCAGGACGACTATCAGCCACAGCCGCTGCAGGTAGATGGAGAAGATGAATGGGAAGTAGAAGAAATTGTAGCAGAGGTACGCCGTCGTGGGAGAGGGCATCAGCTATACTACGAGGTGAAGTGGAAAGGTTTCCACCAAACG